AAGAAGAGAGACGGACTCGCGACAGAAAAGCCGATCAGCTGATCATTAAGCAGTTTCATGATTGAAGTAGCAACAGGAGAGGGAGGGAGAGAGGCAGTCCCTCCATAAATCTGTTGTTAAGCTTAAGTGGGAATGCTTTACAGACATTCAGAGATGAACTTACACACTTGCTTTACTTCTCTCTGGGAAAACTTCCTCGGAGATGAAATGCTGGTTTGGTAGCAAGGCTACAAATACACATAGCCGCTCTATCACGTGATGCATACTGAGGCGACGTGCTAAGGTTATGAGCCGAGTTACACCGTGTAGCAAGTTTTGTGAGGTGCTTTTTTGATATTTAATGGATCGATTACATTTTTTATTTCTCGCCGATATCCGATCCAGTAATTTGGGTCAGTATCGGACCGATACCGATAGGTAATATCGGATCGGTCCATCTCTAATCAATACATTTAAAAAAAAAAATAAATAAATGTGGTTTTCTATGTAAAAATTGTAAATTTGAGTGTCAAATTGAAACTGCAAAAAGCACAAGTGAAGGGGTATCGAAGAAAAATATTTAGAAAATCATATTAAAATCATATTAAGCATTTTTATAAATCAAAGGACATCATCTTAAAATTTTCCATTTGATTGTTATATTTCATTTGTGCTTTTGTCTTCATAAAACCTGTTTGCTAATGTAAAAGATTTCTTCTAGGAGGGTAAAAATGAGAGATTTGAAGATCAATTGTAATATTAGGACATTGAAGGCATTTATCATTTTTTGTTTAATGAAAAAAATGTTTCTAGAGGGTCATAATAATGATTGTGCTTTTCTAGAATATCCTAAGTAAAATTGTCAAACCTAATCACTTTTTTAATGTTAGGCTTGGCTGCTAACTGCTGAGCTGCAAAAGAAATAAAATAACCTAGCTTTTTGCCAAGCTCACTTCCTTAATCTATTGTCTTTCTACTTATCGAGATGATCCTGAAAACAAATTAAAAACTCAAACTTTTTGTACGCCAGTAACAATGTTATATCTGAGGTACTGAGACTTACATCAGGGGCAAGTCTATTGTCCCTTTGTATATCCAGCAGAGGGAGACAGAGTGTGGTTGTACACTGCCTCCACTTTGCAGATAGAGTTATCCACTTGAGCTTCATGATATTACAAGAAATACTTATCTGCATACCATCAAAAAAAAAAAAACTTGTAAAAACATCTGGAGCTTCATCAAATCTTGTCTTCTCTATCCTCCATACAGGCCTTGGCCATGCTTCCCCTCCTTGCCCCCCTCTTCCTGCTACAGCTTGTAGTTCTTACCTTTGTGAGTGGAGGAGCATACTACGGTCACAAGCAGCATCCTCAGCCATACCAACCGATGCAGCATATCCAACATATTGGCATGGGCAAAGGTGGCTTTCCTCAGCAGCAGTACCTAGGCAAAGACATGCCCTATATGCAGTATCCCCATTACAGCAAGGAGCTCCCACCAATGCCCATGCACAAGGGAAAGGAAAATGCTCATAAGGGGGGAGGCTACAATGGTGGCAAAGACAAAGGTAAGAAAACAGTTTTAAAGACCTATACCACCAACTTTGGCAATCCATACATGTAGATTTTGAACCTCTACTATCGAGCTAAAGAATGACCAGTAAACAGATGTCTCTTAAGTTTATAATATAAGTACTTAGTTACACGGTACTATGAAAAGGTCTTGAGTCACCCCTCATTTCTTTACATTTTGCTATGAAAATGGAAATAAATGCAGCAGTTTATTGAAGCACGTACAATCATGAATCGAAATACACTATATAAGGCAAAAACAGAGTTTGTACATTTATGAAGAGGGTGGAAGTCAGTATTTGGCCTCCTTTATTTTTCAACACAGCCTCAACTCTCTCAAAAAAGATCTCTGTCAAGATGATATCAGACCTTTTTACCTTTTTGTCCTTCACTTTTCCAGTTTTCTCAAAACTTTAAGGGACACACTGCACACCACACCAAGTTTTCAGGCCTTTGGGAATCAACTTGTTGCTGCAAAAATACTATTTTATATCTGCCAACCTGTCATCATTGGCATTTTTATATTAAACTATAGAAATTGAAACAAATAATCATTTGTATGTGTCATTTCCAAACTTTATAAACAATATGTGTCTGTGAATTTTTAGATTTATTATTTCTGTGTGAATAATGTACTAATTTCTCACAGGCCAGACAATTCCTAGTGGTGCTGAGGGAATTCCCCAAGGAGAGCCAGGCCCTGCTGGGCCACCTGGGCCACTTGGACCAGAGGGACCTTCAGGACCTCCTGGGCCTCCAGGGAATGGGTTGCCAGGACCTGCAGGACGGCCTGGACCTCCTGGTCCACCGGGAATTCCAGGAGTTGGGAAACCAGGTTTTCCTGGGCTTCCTGGAAAACCTGGAGGAACTGGTATTGTTGGCCCTCAAGGAGAAATGGGCCCTAGGGGTGAAGAAGGGCCACCAGGACAGCCAGGGCCTCAAGGACCCCCAGGACCACCTGGACTTCCAGGAATAGGTAAACCAGGTGTTCAAGGTTTACCAGGTCAAATGGGGCCCAAAGGTGAGCCAGGTCACAAAGGTCTTCCAGGTTTACCAGGACTGCCAGGACCCAAAGGAGACAAAGGGATGGGGCTGCCAGGACCACCTGGACACAAAGGGCTTCCAGGGCTCCCTGGGCCTGCTGGTCCAAGAGGATTGCCTGGTTTTGGTAAACCTGGATTGAATGGCACACCAGGACCACAGGGACCATCAGGGGAAAAGGGACATCCAGGACATCAAGGGCCAGCTGGACCACCAGGTGAAAAAGGACAGCCTGGCCCAGCAGGTCTACCTGGTCAAGGGAAGCCAGGTCAAAATGGTCTACCAGGACAACCAGGCATGCCAGGTGTGAAAGGTCTTCCAGGACCACCAGGTTTGCCAGGAAAGCCAGGATTGCCAGGATTTGGTAAACCGGGACTCCCAGGACCAAAGGGTGATAAAGGTATGAGTGGGCCACCTGGATCACCTGGACCAAAGGGAGATAAGGGTTACAGCGGTCTACCTGGTACGCCTGGACCTTCTGGACCAAAAGGTCCTGAAGGTCATCCAGGCCCTACTGGACCCCCGGGGCCTACGGGTGCATCTGGTCCTAAAGGAGATTGTGGAGAAGAAGGACCTAAAGGTTTTGATGGAGCTCAGGGTGAGCCTGGTCCTCAAGGGTTACCTGGAAAGGATGGCCTGCCAGGAGACCAGGGAGAGCCAGGACCAAGAGGCCCACCAGGACCAATTGGTGCCAAAGGAGACATTGGACCTGAAGGTCTACCTGGTGTTCCTGGTTCTTCAGGACCTCCTGGTCCCAAAGGAGAAAGAGGGGAACCAGGTGAAGTGGGCCCCCAAGGCCCTAAAGGAATCCCAGGAATGGATGGTGCAGCAGGACCAATTGGGCCCCCTGGTCTTCAAGGACCAAAAGGAGATTATGGTCCTCCTGGTCCACCAGGCATTGCAGTTGAAGGAGGTCCAGGTCTACCTGGTCCCATAGGACCCCCAGGAAAAGAAGGCCCATCAGGACCCCCTGGGCAACGAGGTCTGCCTGGCCCTCCTGGACCACCAGGTCCACCTGGAATAACTAGTGTGTCACCTGAAATGGCAGGAGTGCTTTCTGAGATGGGCCCAAGACTAGACGGTGTTAAAGCTGGAAGTTATGGCAAGAAGGGCAAGTATGGAGGCAATGGGGCAGAAGTAATGGGTCCCAGTGGGCTGGAAATGCCAGCATTCACAGCTACAGCAATGACTCCGTTTCCACCTGTCGGCACTCCAGTCATCTTTGACAAGCTTTTGTACAATGGTCGCCAAAACTACAACCCCCAGACAGGAATTTTCACTTGTGAAGTACCTGGCATTTATTACTTTGCCTACCACATTCATTGCAAAGGAACTAATGTCTGGGTCGCTTTAATGAGAAACAATGAGCCTGTAATGTATACATATGATGAATACAAAAAGGGTTTCCTAGACCAAGCATCAGGGAGTGCAGTATTACCTCTACAGCTAGGGGACACTGTGTATATTCAGCTGCCCTCAGATCAGGCTTCAGGACTTTATGCTGGACAGTACGTGCATTCCTCCTTCACTGGGTACTTGTTATATCCAATGTAAAACCACAAACTGCAGAGAGAGAGAGGCTTTGGTAAGAAGAACACAAGAGCTTATTTTTATATGACAGAAAACACAGATTACCTTACACTAAGTGTACTTTTAATGCAAAGTCAGCAAGCAAATAGTGTCATCAACAGACAAGACAAGATAAAATATTTTAAAGAAGATATTAAATCTGGCAAATTAAATCTGTACGAAGCCAAAGAGATGGTTTAATTAGGAGAGCAAAAATCTTTCTTTTACAGCACTGGATGGTATAAAAGAATGTAAAAAAGGAAAAAAAACAGAATTTAGAAATGGCTACAAAGGTACTTTCATGCGCATATTTCAAGAGTGGAAGTTATTAGTATAAACATAGAAGGGAAGTATAGGTAAATGAGGTTAAAAAGAGATGGTATAATGATAGTCACACTGTTGCAGCTGTGTCAGATTTGGTCCCTGTATGTCTTTAAAATTGGCAGCTACCCCATGTGGCAACATATAATGTGAAAGTATAAAATAGTAAGATAGCATTCATTTCAACAGGAAATATATTTTTTTGCATGCATATATTTGTATAATCAATGACTTTTCTCTAGTGATAACAATAAGTATGAAAACAAAATCTCTTTCAAATGAGAGTTCAGATTGGAGCAATGAAGTTTGCATTACAGCAGTCTGTACATTGCCATGTTTTATTTTTGTTTGTTTATTTTTTAGATAAATATATTTCTATTTGTGTTGGTATCTACATTGGGTTGCAGAGGACTAAACCTGGGGGTAAAGATCATTTTAATTCTAATGTTCAGTAGACTGGACTGTTAAGAACAAGACTTGAGTGAAGGAATTGTATGTATATGGGACGACTGGTACTGGTTGGTGAGCTGAAACAGCAGTTAGTGTACTCTTCTTTAGAAAGATGCTACACAATGCATAGATTGTCAAAATTAAGTCAGTCAATAACCTGAGTGTGTTGCTGGCTGATTATTGGTCTTGAGTGAGGTTTAAATTTTAAGAATGTATCATAAGTTTTATTTTTCTGAGGTAGGTTTGTGGTTATTGTGTTGTATTAGAATTGGAAATAGGACACAGTTTTGCTCTGATCTATTAAAACCACTCAGTATACTCTAATAAATATTGGTACATTATCATCCTAACATTTCACACTTAACAAAAATTCTTTACCACCAACTAAACAGTTGAATTATATGTCAGTGTTACGTGAAAACAAACACAAAGTTGCATGTTTACAGATGGTTTATAGTGCAAAACAATACTCCACAGCCAATCCCATTGATATTAACAAGTCTCCGAACTGCAAGTTGCCGAGTCTTCCTTTAAAGTCAAAACCAGTGTTACCCGTTAATATTTTTATTTACTGCTTTTACATAAAAATGAACTGATTATATTCTTTGACTGTTTTGCAGGCCATATTATTATTTTTTCCACGGAAGCATATCACAGTGCATTATAGTTGTTGTGAGTATAATTACAAATAAGATGGCAGAATATGTGGAAAACAGTTTATAGATGTTTAAAAGAGCGATGACCAAATTAAGTTTCCTGTATCTGCAGTGTGTTTCCTTTACATGTTTTTCTGTATTCATTAATGGACTTAAAGCAAGTGTTGAATGCTGCGGCAGTTGATTAACAACAGTTATGTCATTAATTTATTATTATTATTATTGTTGTTATTGTAATTTTTACTGCTGATGACTTGCATGCAATAAACAGCAAAAAAAAAAAAAAAGACACGGGAAATGATAATGACTTTGGTGCCAATATTGTCATTGTAATCAAATGATGTGTATCAATGTTTCAAGTTTGTTGTTATTGTCTGTGATGTTTTTCTAAATAAAAATTGTTTGATTAAAAGAATTGCCACAGATATCATCTTGAGCTTCACTGAAACCCATTTGACTAAAGCTGTTATGGCACATTTAAAGAGCAAATAATAAGAAAGCACTGGAAGACTCCTTCAAAAAAAATTGATAGGATTGTCACACATATCTCATTAAACTCCTGTTAAATAATGTTAAATCCACCAACTTGATAATATTCCATTATGCAAAGCAGGTGAATAGCAGTAAGCACTAGCCATAGTAGCAGTATTTATTCATTAACCCAAGACAACATATGTCGTGAAACATTTCTTAATTCTTTGTTTTCAGAAAGCAGTTTATATTTAAAAGGACAAATGAACAACAAGAGTGTCATATCCTTTGTCTATCCTGAAAATGTGTATTTTTATTTTTTTTTTTGGAAGAGATCAGAGTTTGAGGAGAAATATGAGTTAAAAAAAAAAAATCACACTGCCATTTACTTACCACCTCCATGAGATCCGGTTTTATAGGCTTAACATATTTGACCCACTTGACCAAAGTTTAATAAACTTTACATCGTATCAATATAATTTACTAAATGTAGCCATGCATATATCAGGATGCCTAAAGTGTATTCATCAAAAACTGTTGCCTGAAAATCAATATCGATATTAAGTATGCTTTGTAGCACTGAATTTCGATCTAATAGTGTGACACAAAAAAACGCAGAGGCAGGGTACGCTCTAGACAGGTTTCCAGTCTGTAAATATTTATTTATATTTATATTAGATAATTTATATTTAGATAATCAATCATTATATGCTTAAAATGAATTAAATGAACGTATACTAATCAAGTACATTTCATTTGACCAATTTCCATTCGATTTTACGTTTTCAATTGTACTTATGTAACAAAATTATCTGAAAATTTTACATGTAATCAAATTTCTTAAAGTTAGTATCTTTTTCGTTTTTGCAGAAAAACATTATAAATTGGTATCAACTTAATCAATACTACCAGATAACAGAACTATTGATTGTGACGTGAAAAGAAGATGCTGATGCTGCCGAGGGCTGTCGGTCGTCAGTGCGCATGCTTAAAGCTGTCGTTGACGTTCACTCAGCACATCTCCTTTGGATAGAAATTTAAACAAGGAGCTCGGCCAAACGTTGACAAAGTCAGGTGTAAGCATCATCGGTAAGCCAAGTTCACTCTGCTACTATCGTTTCTGGTGATAACAAATAAATAAATAAAAATGCTAGACTAACGTACAAAACGTATCTGTCCAAAGTAAAGGCTAAACTAGGTTAGCCAGTAGCAGCTAATGCTTCAAATCCCAGCCCAACTAGTCTGCGCGAAAACGGCCGTTTTCTGTTTAAATCGCTGTTTGCATCATGTTGTGAGAGCTGGGAAACGGTGACGTTTATTATGACTATCGCTGAATCTGTATCCTCTATTATCTTTCTCCTCACGGTGTCCTTGCATTTACCAGGCTGATTATTCGCACACTGGGACATTAGCAGGTTAAATCTGTCACATTGCCTGGTTGACCAGTTAGTTCCAGCTTTCGAATGTAAGAAACTGTCCTTTTGCAGCTTTAAATATTAAATGCCTTTTAATACCCTGATTGTCTTCTGAATTTTAAATATTCCAATGAAATTTGATGAAATCACCATTTTTTTTAGGAGTGTATGCTCTTTGATTGCAGTCATTTGCATGTTACATTATTTGTCTTGTGCATTAACAGGTTTCTCCAAACATGAAAAACAAACCAAGGATGGCCCCACAGTACCAGATGAAGCAAGTATCTATGTTTGGCATTTGTCAATAAATATGAACATTGTCTCTGAGTTGCAGTCTGATGGTCTGTTTTTCTCTTTTGCAGCGCTTCCCTGAAGTCAGAGATACGGAAGTTAAACGTGGTCCACTTTCTCATCTGGCTGCTGGTGGCCGCGCAAGTGACCGTCAGCCACTTCAACATTGTGTCACAGGACACTGTGTCCATGCCGTACCAGTGGGAGTACCCCTATCTGCTCAGCATCTTCCCTCTGCTCTTCAGCAGCCTGTCCCTCCCAAAGAACAACATCAGCTACCTGGTCCTGTCAATGATCAGTGCAGGGCTGTTCTCTTTTGCACCTCTTATATATGGTGGCATGGAGATGTTTCCTGTAGCAAAGCAGCTGTTCCGTCAAGGAAAAGCCTTCCGCTTCATTTTTGGCTGCTCTGCAGTGACTGCTGCATACATTGTTATAGTGGTTGCTGCTCAAGTGCACGGCTGGCAGTTGTATTACATGAAAAAACTGCTGGATTCATGGTTTGATGCTACTCAGGAGAAGAAAAACAAATAATGGAGTTTTTAAGCTGTGAATGGACAAAACTTGTGTTTTTTTTAAATACATGAGTTATGTCTCCTTAGTCTTCATGTTTATGTAATATGATCATTTAAAGCTAATGATTGTTCATTTCAATAAACTTATTTATTTAAAGCAGCAGATTGATTTCTTGCACACACAGTTAGGTTGGGATTGGGATTCAAAGCACCAGCAATAAAAATGGAGTCCAGTCACTGTGACTTTAGCCCTTCTCCAATCAAAGAAAAAAGAATAATGTTGGTGTCTCTCTCAAAAAAAGTCTTCCTATGATTTAAAGAAAATGTAATGTTCATACTTACAGTATTGAAGCAATTATTCATACACACACACACTTACAAACTGTTAAACAATATGCTTTGATATGTGTTTATTTGTTCAGTAAGTTAAGTCTACCTCTTATGATATTTTCTTGTTTGGTTTTTGTAATGGGCGCGTTCACAGTATCTGCATGCACTGCTGTTTTTAAGATATTCTGTTGCAGCACGAGAACACCAGCATCGCTTTACTGCAGACTCTGTGCGTGCTTAGCTATCCGGTGTTCAAAAGGTAAATAAATAAACGCTGCTCAAGATGATGGCTGAAATTCTGTGAAGGCTCTCAACGCACTTTGTTCCAGTCGGTCTGCGGCTGCGCACACTGAATGCCACGTACTGGTTGACGTTGACAGTCTGGAGGACACTTCCTGATGCTGCTGCCCGGGTCTAGCTAGGCTAGCTAATAGATTAGATTTTCACGGTTTGGGGAAACCCGTGAAATACACCGTGGTCAAGTCGTCTGGTTCAGGTATAAACATTACTTCGAGTTATGTTATAATTTAACTACAAAGCAGTTTCTATGCTATTACGTACTGTTGTGGTGCTAGCTAGCTACGCAGGGAGCTAACGCTACGCTAGCTCGTCCAAACAGGTGTCGAAACTGATACAGAGGGAGTTGTTTAACAAAAGATTCGTCAATTAACTGATCTGATCAAGTCTATGTAAGGTGAAGTAGGGAAATTATCAGTTTATACCTTCTTACCTAGCTCTATTATAGGTAGAGCTGTTATAAGTTACACAGGAAACAGCTTGTTGACGACTCATTGTCATTATAGGAAAAGCTAAGTGTTATTATTCCAGCCTTTTCAGATATACATCAGGAAATTAAACAGATCATTCATTTTTTAAGTGTACGTAACGTATACAGTAAACACTGCAACGGCAGTGGTGAAACGGCCTAATAAGCGTTAACAGTCAGTCCTGTTTGTTGACGGGCCACTGATAGATAACTGCGACTTTTGCCATTATATAAAAGTTTTATTTTCGCTTCTGTGATATTTTAAGATTTGTTTCCAGAGCTCTAGAAATTAACTTGATAGACTCCGTTTCGGTTTAATTTTTTTCCCCAGTCGTACTCATTAAATGTTACTGTACGCTAAACGTTAGCTACCACCCAATCCCTAGCATCCAGCCAATTACTCATCTGGCCCGGACAGAAAGAGTATATTGCTGAGCTTACAACATCAGGAGATAACGTCAGAGTTAATCCAACTCGTGACTGTACACGAACGATGAGGTTTACGTTAACTTTACACAGTGTGTAAACCCCACCTTGTTTGATGAGTGCAGGCCTCTTATTACATACCCCCCTCCCCCCAAAGAAATATCTGTTTTACCGGTATGATATGAGTAAAATGGGTTTTAATGTGCGATTACTTTGTAATCATTTATATGATTCGCCAAATGGCTTTGAAAGCTTTTTTTCTCCTATCAGAAGAGATGATATTTTGGGTCAAAGTCTATAAGGTCTGTTATTTCTATAGCCTGTGCCACCTCACATGAAGATGTTTGACCCTTAGACTCTGGAGTGACATGGTTTTGTTGCTTTGTTTGATCAAATCATTTAAGTCAAGGGAGGAGCGCTCCTGTTCTGTGTGTAATTTCAAACAGGCCTCAGTCAACATTAAGAGAGCTTTGTGACAGTGAAGACAAGCTATTAATTTTGGCATATTAATGTAATCATAGGACTGTTCTCACAGCAGCTGTTATGGCTCAATCGTGGCTCAAGAGTTGGGAGTTCGCCTTGTAATCGGAAGGTTGGCGGTTCGAGTCCTTGGGCAAGACACTTCACCCGTTGCCTACTGGTGGTAGTCAGAGGGCCCGGTGTCCAGCAGCCTCACCTCTGTCAGTACGCCCCAGGGTGGCTGTGGCCATCACCAGTGTGTGAATGTGTGTGTAAATGGGTGGATGACTGGTTGTGTAAAGCTCTTTGGGACTTGAAAAAGCGCTATACTGTTGACCTACTTATTCTGACCTAGTTTTAAAAAGGGCTTAACTAATAATTATATATTCTGTTCCGTAAGCTAGACATACATGTTGCTGTGAATGCCAGTTTGCTGACTAGTGGTGCCCTGGCACTGCAGTATGCATACCTCCTAAGTAGTTTTTGCGCTCTTATGTTCACACAGTTAAAAAAAAAAAAAAATGTTATGACACATTTTTCCATGTTACTGTTTTTAGCCTGCTCCTGCTATCCTAGCATTTTCAATAAATTTCCATTTGAACCCTGCAGAGAAGAGATTATAAAAATGAATGCAAATAAACTGCCTTGGTGTGTGATATGTTTTGCTTTTCACGCCAGCTCTGTTTACACATGCAGTTTGGGAAGTTTCTAGATAGTTTCCCAGCAGAGACTGATTTAAGAGGGTTAAAAGGAAATAAAAATATAATGTGGCGCAATAATTATTTTATCTGAATTAGCCTTTGATAATCACTAAAAACTGTAGAATAAATTGTAATTGCAAATCAAATTTGAGTAATTATACAACCCTACTTTGTACTAAGGAGCTGGAAGGTTAAAGAGTGGCCAGTGTTCAGTGTGACTGTGTGTCACTCCCTGTTGGGTAATGCCTAGAAGAGTTCAGGGCTGCACTGAAAGTGTGAACACCTTTCTTCTACCTTTGTCAAGTGCTGGGAGCAGAAGAGGTCAGACGGCACCATGAACGGCCAGCTGGACCTGAGCGGGAAGCTGATCATCAAAGCCCAGTTGGGTGACGACATCCGACGCATTCCCATCCATAATGAAGACATTACCTATGATGAGCTGGTGCTCATGATGCAGCGTGTCTTCAGGGGAAAGCTGCAGAGTAACGACGAGGTCACTATCAAATACAAGGATGAAGGTGAGTCAGGACACAGAAAATGCCTGTGAGGGTCTGGTCTTCCTCTGGTGACAAGTGTACTTCATGATGGTAATCTCAGCATATTTTCTTTGAAAGTGACAATTTGCTGTACAGCTAATCATCTTTTGCCCATTTCCTGTTTACAGATGATGACCTCATTACCATTTTTGACAGCTCTGACCTCTCATTCGCCATCCAGTGTAGTAGAATACTCAAACTGACTTTGTTTGGTAAGAAATTAACACATTTCTTCTTATGGACTATATGCGTGTTTAGTCTCTTACTTCAGCTGTTACAGCAGCCAGTCACTGGAGGGCAGTCTAGCTTATTTTTCCACACAGCAAACCTCAGATCGTTACTGTCCAAATGAAAATGATCTACACTCCCTTCTGACTAATTTGTTTTGGAATCGCTGTTTCTTAGCACCGATTTAACAAACAAACACTATGACAGGTAGTAGATGTGTGTATTTTGTACCAGTTATTCTGAACAGAAAATAGCTTGGAGCAGGTTCTAACCAGAGCCTCTGCAAAGACCTTATAGCTTATGGGTTGCCACCTCAACCTGTTGGGCTAAACCATTGCCCCACCCAGATAATTCCACAGTCATTCAGTAGCTCAGCAGGTGTAACTCGCTGAATAATCTGTTACCTGACCAGCCAATATGCCTCACCCTATATAACATGTTATTCGGGCTTTGTTGCTGTCAGTAGTAAAAACATTGTGATGAAATGTCTGGGATTTGTAGGACTTAGTATGTTAATTTTCCCAAAGTATGATTAAGATAAGTGAAATGGTAAAAAAGTGGACTTTGATCAAAGAAGTGTACTCAACATTGAGATTAATGGGCTTAGGTGCGTTTGTTTTGTTTGTGATTTTATTCTTTCTTTTCTCTTTTTGTTTTAACTTGGCTACATCCATCCATCCATCAATCCCTTTTTCAGTGCGGGGTTACAAGCAGGCAACAGGCAGGGTTCACCCTTGACATGTTGCCAGCCTATGACAGGGCCCTTGGCTATTTCGCTATAATATATCACTATAGTAAATATGCTGAACACATAACCTTAAGCAGGTTATGTTCAGAGTTCTAAATTTCAAATCAGCTGTATGCGTCGTAATTTTCCTAATTATTTTTTTTCCCAAACATCAAGCTCAGAGTATGATTTAGCTGTTATTCCTCTCTGAAGCAGAAGGATCGGAGTTTTAGGTTTAAGAAAGCCTGGCTGTGTCGACCATGCTTTTGCCGTACACGTTTTAGCCTCATTGTTTACAGGTTTGTGGTTAATAGGAGGCTTAAGATTGAAATTATACATTTTATTTGTAATATTTAATTTTTTTACAATCGTAATAGTCAATCTATATTCCCACCCTCCCCTATTGCCACTAGCTTTGGATAGTGATTGAAAGGATGAGACTGCAAGTGTTCAAAATGGGTTCCCTCCCTTAGTGGTGGGGTGAGGGGCTCAGTCTCTTTTTAGGATGCCTCTGAGGTGTTTCCAGCATGCCCAACTGGTAGAAGATCCTAGGACATGCTGAAGAGATGATGGCCCTTGCTTTACTTGAGAACACCTCAGTGACCCCTTGGAGAACTGGATAGAGAGACTGTTAACTCAGATTAGTAGCAGAAAATCGGTGAATGCATGGAAAAAAATGTTTTTAAATCCATAATGAAACACTACATATAAAAATGCATTTTTTAAAATAGGCCATTAGTTAATTATTCTTATGTCTAAGGAAAAAAGGTACATTTTCACTTATACTGAAGTGTATTGATAATCCTTGCTGACTGAAATGTATATGATCAGATATGCCACATTTTCAGATTTATTTTTCTTTCAGTCACAGCAAAGCTGTATATTAATGCTAGGCGGTAAGAGAAGAAATATTCTGAGCCTGTGAAATTTTAAGTTGATTCTTTCACTAATCATACTTTCTGGGGGGGCATTTTTACAGTACAGGTGTTTTGTTATTCTGTTAACACAACAACCGAGACTGTGTCCAGTGTTTGGCTTGTGTTTTAGAGGATTGTCTTTCCTGGCTGTAACTAAATAGTGTTGGAGTTTTGTCAGTTTAGAAACAGCATACCAATACTCTTTTTGGGCTCTGGAGATTGGACCGTAACAACCAACAAATATTTGAAGCTTGGAGCACCTGATTGTGCTTCAGTGTCTAACTGCGTGCTTGCTCACTGAATTGTAGACAAGAAGGCATGTCTCATCTGAGTGGACTGTGTAGCAGTACTGTCTATATGTTTTTGCGATAAGTACTTTTTGTGAAAAAGTTGCTCCAGGGCAATGAAAAGTCAGTAAGTTTTCAGTAGCGATGTGAACTGAAGTGTGTTAAATATCCAATGAACATGTTGGAATAGTTATGATTGGGTACCACCTTAAGCTTACTTTAATTCCAACTTTGGGGTGTTTAGTATGTAGAATATTACCTACAGCTGCGAAAAAGTGTGACTCGTAACCATAGCAAACCAGCATCAAATCTGTCATTAAAAAACTCTTTCACAACATTAGAAGTGCATCAGCACACATTCTCTACTGTCTAAACTGTGTTAACAACATGATGTTGTTTCCTGTGCTCTGCTCTCAGTCACTCCTGCTGTAGCCTCTATTATTAGGCTGGAAGTGGAAAGGTTTTTTTTTTTCCTCTCAAAAAAAAGAGAAAAAGTTGTTTAAGTTCCTACAAATCAAAACAGAGCCCTGGCTCGTAATCGCATGTCTTGACCTCACGTGGAAATTACGCCGTCCAACATGTGTTGATATTCAGAGGCAGGGAGAGGAGCTGGAACTGCATGACGGCCTGCGTCTCAGCACAGTGCCTCATGAGCCCATCCGTCTCTGTTCAGCATTATTCAGTCAGACAGAGAAACTTGTGTGAGAGAGGAATGTGGAGCGACGTCCAGTTCATTCCTTTTGCAGTGGAAATTTCACTCTTTGGTCAGTGAGAAGATGTGGTACAGGGCATATAGAGTTGACTGTTTTGAAGAGGTTTGTCACATGTTTCCTGCAGATTAGCAGGTTTCAGTTTATTGCCAACAACCCGGCTCCATTCTTAGTTAAATGCTTCGCTGTCAGGGTGGGGTGACAGCGATTCCTGCTCAGCTCAGCAGCCGTTGTGAATGGCTTTGTGGAAGTAACCATGTGACAGATGATCCCAGTAATCCCAGGTATTTAGATTATGGAGCCAACAGATCATCACTCATAACATGCAGATACCTTATTGGCTTCCAATCAACTGGAGTGCAGAAGTCAGATAGTTTTAAATTTACCATTATGTGTTGAGCTATTTTGACTGGCCTCTTAGCTGCCAGGCATTTTTTAATTATTTATTTCCATTGTGATTTTCTGTCCAGTGCATAATGTGAAGTTCACCACATGAGTTTATTGTCAGGCGTCAATCCTTATAAACAGTTTTATTAATAAGTCTGGAAGAACTTTGCTGCTGCATTAGAGTCCACTCTGACCCAGATATTCTACTCTCGATTATCATCCAAACCATGATTTATATGACCAAGGAGTTCTAGACAGTAAGATATCACAAAGAATGAGATGCAGTTCCAGTAGTTTACAAAATCGGTGGGAGTTTTGTAGTTTAAAAGTGCTCAACAGGAGCGCGGATAGAGAAGATTTTACTCTGCTTTATTACTGAAATAAATTATTGTTTTCTGATTTCTTCATCTTATTATCTGCAGTTAATGGTCAGCCGCGGCCTTTGGAGTCCAGTCAGGTAAAGTACCTGCGCAGGGAGCTCATTGAGCTCAGGAATAAAGTCAACAACCTCCTTGATACCCTGGAGCCCCCGACAGAGCCTGGTCTGGCTGCTACAGCCCCAGACAGTGGTAAGCACACTCACTCACACAATAGACTATATATAAGCTTGTTATATAAAATAAGCCTTTTGCCAAATGCAGTATAGTGTAGTCATAGAAAAAACAATTAAACATGTACACGAATTCATATTATGAACAACTCACTGGGTCGTTAGCAACTCTACAGCCGGGTGGTTCTGTGATTCTTTTTGTTATAGTTTCTACTTTTAGATCTCTGGGACTCACTATAATCTTGGTAATATGGACTGCGTGACCTCCTTAACTAATAAAAGTGGTTCATAGTCCACAGTATTGTAGCTGGAGTTATAAGAGCTGTATCCCGCAAAGACATTGGCACCAAACTGAGACAGTTTACTGGAGTCGGTAACTGTTGGATTAATTGAACGCATTTTTTAATTATTTTTTTTAAACAAATATTTGTCTGCAGTTTGACTCTAAATTTGTTACATGCTAGATCAGTCCAGCCGAGTGTGGTCAATCGCGCCCACGTATGCGCACATGTTGAGCAAAAACAAGGTCTCTCTGACTAATCATAGCTGCAACCCAAGGTTTGATATTGTAAGCTGCTACATTAAAAGTTTTTTAAATATTTCTCATTACTTCTTAACAAATATGCTCATATAGTTTTGGGCCTTTAAGGATCAACTGAGTTAAATATAAAAGGGTAATCTGGAAAACTTGCAGTTTGTCAGAAACACCCAGACCCTTATTCGTTTTATTACACTTTTGTCTCCATGGCATCTTAACAAGCTAAAATGTTGTCTTAGCATCACATTTCCTCTTCCCTTTCCAGAATCAGTGGATGGGCGTGAAGGAAAAGTTGTGACAGCTGACCCCACAGTGAAACAGGCCACTCCAGTCAGTGCAGCCAGTATGTCGGCCTTTGATCCATTAAAAAACCAGGATGAGGTCAACAAGAATGTCATCTCCTCTTTTGGCCTGAGCGAGGACCAGGCCCCAGGTAGAGCCGAAGTGCAAATGCTATCTTTGAAAATTGATTTTATTTAATTGTCTAGTTTCTATATCAGGCATCTGTGTCTCTTCTGATCGTCTGTTTATTTGTGTGCCGTTTGTATAGCTCCCCCAGCAGTTGCAGCAGAGGAGCGTTCAGGAACCCCTGACAGCATTGCTTCTTCCTCATCTGCAGCGCCTCAGCCAGGAGTGCCCCCTCAGCCACAGGCTCCATATGCTGGAGTGCAGCAGGGACCCCCAGCGGGCATGGATGGTGAGATGTGTGCACATGCACTTACTGTAGAAAATACACAAATAAAAAAAGCATACAGATCCTTTGACAGAGATATGTGTCCTCCAAAAAAGTAAGCACAGTTACATAATGTCTTTTCAAGCACAGGGGTGTCAAAGGCTCTGCAGTGTGGCAGATTAAGCAATTACTTTTTACAGTGGTGCTGTTAAACAGAATGTTTTTCCAAATTTGCCACCATAGTAGCCTTACAAAAATGCGACTGCCTGCTGAGCTACTATGTTGACAAAAGCTCATCCAGGAGTATTTCTTTTCCAAAGAGTAGTTCTGACTAAAAAATGAAACTGAAGAAAGGATATAGCAGGTTTTCCAAGCTAAAGGAAATGCACACAGTTGTCAGTTTATTATGTACATTGTGTTTTAACTGCTTTGTTTAAATACAAATGTCCTCCCAATCCCAGTTTGTGTTGTTGAACTATTTTTCAATCTACCTTCACTGATTTGAGTTATGTGTGTGTAATCTACCAATAAGTAAAGATGTAGTGTAGGAAGGATGCACCAGCTGTTACTGCTGCCATTGTAGCTCACTATGCTTTTAGCTTTCATCCTGCCAGAGAAACACAGTAGACCAGAGCTAGTGGAAATTTCTGGAATTGAGGAAGATTGTTTGGATCGGAACAGATCAAATGGAGAGAAATATGATTGAATTTAAAAAAGCACACTGGGCCTCATTCATAGTGTGTGTGTGTGTGTGTGTGTGCAAAAATTTGTCTTTAAACGGCGTGTAGGAGCGTTTCACACACGAATGTGGAATTTATCAGTCTTTTCCTTTCACAAATTTGTTTGTACAAAGCAAAAATTACCTCAGAGCACAGAGTGTCAGAGGCCCTGCAGTGTGGGTGATTACAATAACATCCAACAGTGCAACAACGTACACTGAAGGCACAAATGACAAGTAATTCAATTTATGTCATATTTAACAGTTTTCCAACACAAACCAAAAAACAGGCACATAAAAAAAGAAATATATTTAGCCAAGAAAAGCCTTTAATGTGCTGTTTTCTTTAAACATATTCTAATAAGCAACGGTTTTGCCTACATGTCACCAGTTCAGGCTAAATGGAAACCACAAACTTTCTTGACACTTGGTGCACATTTGTGATCATGGATCAGTTTAAAGGCGTACTTTGATAAAAGTGCTTTTGCTGTCTCAGGTGATGGAGCATTCACTAGCCCAGTTATTGCAGCCTGAAGCTCCTAAACACTTATCTATTTCAGGGCTGGAGCAGGATTACACACATGTAATGCATATGTAGCTGATCTTGAGCAAGAATGAAAGCACGCCTTGTATAGGGCATCACTATTGTTTGCCCTATACAAGTAATATAGGGCCTATAACACTATTATAACTTTTTTGCATGAGCCCCACTGATTTCATTGCATAGGTTGACTGTACTGCGCCTTTGGTGTGCTTCATATAATACATTTTTTCCATTTCCCATATTACTGATTATTGCATGTACTCTGACCTTGGTTTTTTTTTGGCAATCAGACCCATTCTGCAGTTGAAATAGCATATTTTTTTATAAAATTAATTAACATTTAGTTTAATTTTAAACACAGTGTAACCATGAGCATCCCCATGTAATTAATATTCATCTTTCAGCGCGCCTTATCGTAGCTCTCTCGGGTGCAGTCTTTAACTCTGAATCATCCTTGATAAAGACAAATGAACAAAACATATCAGGCAGTTTGTTTGGGGGGGAAAGTATTTTGTTAACAGAACTACATTCTAGCATCAAGCTCTCAGGGGGATTTGGTTTTACATGCCAATCTGTCTTGTTCTCATTCTCACTCCATATTCAAACTTTTCACATAACACTTTCTGGCCTGTTTTTTTGTTATAAAAGGCAGCCAGACAGGTGCAGCCACAGAGGTGAAGCATTTTGTATCGTTTCACTTATTGCTGTGAATGTGCTGGGTTGTTTTTTAGCTTGTGGTTTGGCTCAGCGAAATAGCCTCATGTTGCACTCTGTGAGAGCTGTAACTTTCACTCTGAGCAGTCACTCCACAGACTCCTGACCACACCTGCTACGCTGAAGATCAGCACACGAGTTGTATGACTTCCATTTAGCTGGTGGTTTGCGGTTTGGCCTGGTTAGAGCACCAGAACCTATCCAGAGGGCATAATAAGAGTTTAGCTGGTCCAAAACAGAGAGAGGGGGGATGGTTAGCCAGCAGCAGCAGCAGCAGCAGCACACTATGTTTTATTCAGAAGACCGAACAGAAAGATCAGGATTTTTTTTGTCCTTTTGTCAAAGGAAGATTAAGAGAGGAGTCAAGTGCTTTTGTCACCAATATGTAGCTGTGGTCACCAGTAGCATGCAGAGAAGACACTCAGTTGTTCAAAGTAAACTAAAGGTGTTGGTTTCAGAACAAGCCACGACTTTTCCTTTGAAGTCGTTCTCCGTTTCTAGTTTGGTTCAAACATTTTAAAGTCAGAATCTTCCATACATACTATGAGTAATCTGCTATTAACCAAAGCAAACGCAAGGAGGGGGCTTTAGTGTATTGTTGTGTCACTGAAGGCCTGATGTGTGGGTGCATCAAACAAAAAAGTTTTAGATGTTGTGTAGCTATATGCTGGATGTAGGTAGTTATAAGAGATTCATTCACCACGTCACACGTAGTTGAGCAAACTTTAACCATGCTTCACTCTAACTTTGCTGTGCACGTAGAAAGCTCCCACAGATCAGTAAAGAATAACTTCTTAACAGCTGCAGAAATGATCTTCCAAACCCTGTCTTTATGCCCTGCATGCAGCAGGTTGGCATCTTCTTTTCCTTCGGTCAACCCTTTCCCTCACGCTATTCCTGTCCTCGGTTGCAGACTAGTATAAAAGCCTCAAGGCAAATCAGAGCAGCCTGTCAATGCACAAGAGTTTGTAAAACGGTGATCTGTGAGACTAGATGCCAACTGAGCATGTGTGGCCTTTTTTAAAAGTAGCCTCAAGCTCACTTTTAATGCAAACCTAGGTTACTTGTTACCATAAGAATTCTGCTAACAAGATCCATAAGCAGATGGTAAAGATTTTACCCTTTCCTTTGATGGACACTTGGCAAAAATCTTTTACATCTTTGCAAGAAAGAAAGAAACTAAACACGTGCGCATGTAACAGTGACTCAGAACAGTTACACGAGACTCGTAATCAGATGGGCAGATGTGTGTTCGATGTGAAATGTTTATATAAAAATAGGACCTCATTATTCCTCCAAAAGACAAGTGGAGAGGTCAGCAGGCCTGCAGCCAAAATGAAAGTAATTCTTCAGCCTACCTATCACATCTTTCACCCCTGATGGTTGACCTCTTGGAGAGGTCAGACAGCCGTGCATCTTTCCATCTCTGTTACATAACTCTGATGATGGATTACAGGCGAGGAGAACAGGAGAAGCCAATTTCACACACGTGCCTCGCCACACATGTAATATTCATGTAAGAAGATAACACATGGTTGCCACACCACTGAGGTGTTTATACAGAGACATCAAAGAGTTAGTCTTTCTAAGCAGTTAGCTGTCAGGTGTCTCCCAAACCAGTCCAAAGTTGTCAGGCTGAATATTCCAGCAGACATTACTTTGTGCTGTATGGAATGTGTTTTTTGTGGAGTAATTCGCCTGGAGCATGTCGTTATATATGGATTTACTTTTGAATGCAGACAGTACAGAACAATCTGATAGGTGCTTAAAATCTCCTTTGAGCTTTCCTTTGGTGTAGATTCTCTAAGCACTGTGGAAAATAAGCACCAGCTTTTACCAGCACTTAATAATCCAGTGAACCCAGCCCTTTTTTATTATGCCTTCTCTCGCTGTGCTTTTCATGCGTCGTCACCCTACTTATTTGCCAGGCCAAAGATTTGGGAGTAGTATTTAGGCCTTGTTAAGGGAGAGAACAGTTGTTCGCCAAGTTTTTGCACATTTGCTGAACTCTAAGGCATTCGATGGAAAATGTAATGAGCAAATGAAAGTAACAGTAACAAAAAGACCTTTCCCTGTCATGAAAGATATACTCCTGATTACTGACTGTATTAAAGGGTGTAGCATGACGATGCTCCAGGTTTAAAGGCCTCGTAAGAATTACTATTTAAAGTAAAGTATTGGGATGATTGGACCTTTAGACTTGATCATTCTCCTCATTTGTCCGTAGGCGGTGCAAACCCATGAAGTCACTGTCTGCAAACACAGACGTGTCTTCTTTCTTGCAAAAAAATCCAGGGTTATGTCTCCAAGCCTGCAGTGTTATTCATTTATTTATTTATTTATTTTATGCCTGCTCCTGCACGTGCATCCTTCTCTCTTGCTCGAAGACAGATTTTACTGTAATGTGCCACAGAGCAGTCTCTGTAGGAGATTAACAACAGATACTTCTATCAAAGTGGTTCCAGCTGTTTTCATTAAAGGAGTTGTGTGTTATTCTATCCCGATGCACAGGTGTTTCCGTGAAGATAGTCCCACGTGTGTCTGGGGTGGATCAGATAATATTGGCTCTCAAAAACAAAAAAAAAAGCCAAGTGTAAATGCAACCAAGGGGCTTTCGAGCTGTTGTAACTGCATCCAATTATCTGAGGTCTATCGTAATCTTTAATCCTCCCAAATGTCTGTGGAGGTAGCCTGGTGATAATGGTGGTTAGAATTACACTATTACACCAAAATTAGCTGTTGAAAAGATGCTCTTAAAAAACCATGAAGCTGATTTATAAGCCAGCTTGCAGTGTTCGTAGTATAAAGGTTAAACATCACTGTTTAGTCCAATATTTTCTCCACACTTGCTGGTGATGAGGATACAAATCCAATAGGCAGTGGTCATATTGCTGTTGGACAAAATTAAATTCTTTGGCACTGATCATGATCATCCCCACCTTTTCAGGTCAAGTGTACCAACAATACCAAGCTCCAGGTGGATACCCTCCTCAGCAGCCAGGTGCCCCACCTCAGCAGCAGTACAGTATGCAGTACCCTGGTAAGATTAAAAGTGATGCTAGCAGATAAAGGGGTAGCTGCTGTTCTGTGTAGCCGATTTCTTTTATGTCTGGAGAGAATTAAAGATTCTCTCTCCCCTCTTGCAGCTGGATACAACCCTCAGCCCGGAGCCCCTCCACAGCCGCAGCAGCAGTTCCAGAACTATGCTCCTCCCTCCTCGCAGGCTCCAGCTCCTGGTGCAGCGCCAGCAGCAGGTTTCCAGGGTGGGCAGCAGCAGACCCATCCACCTCAGGGCACCCAGCAGTACCCACCAGGAGCATTCCCACCACAAAACTACACCTCCCAGGCCTCCCAACCTGCTAACTACACCATGCCGCCCAACTCCCAGCCCGGCTCAGGGTTCCAGCCCCGCCCAGGATATACCCCGCCTCCAGGCAACACTGTCACCCCTCCACCCGGAGCTGCCAACCCTTATGCCCGAAACCGCCCCCCTTATGGCCAGGGCTACACTCAACCGGGACCTGGGTACCGGTAAAATAAGATAGCAGATGTTACTGATCCCATCATCATCCTATATGTGGCTCCAACTGTTTGAAGTGGGTGCAGAAATCTGGTTTACTGCCCTGCACCTTCCCTCTTGCCCTACCCTTGTACAATTATCAAATCCAAATTTAAAAAAGCACCCCCATCCCGAGTCTGATGGTTAGTGTTTGTACGCTATCGCTCCAACACACCACTCTGTTCTGGCCCCGGTGTATGCTCCTTGTGTTATTTTTCCCGTCTTTTCCCTCCAGTTCCGTCGTCTGCTCGGCCCTCTTGTGTCTGCCGTGGTAAAAAATGTAACCAGTCTGTATGCACACACATGGAAAACCAAAACAGGCTGTTGCACAAACTGTTTGTCCTTTCCATGGTAACTCTTCATTTCGAGAGAAGGATCAGCATTCAGTCTGCATTAACAGCAAAAGTCTTTGTCTTGAATTTCCTCAGCATAGATGCGTTCATAAAACACTATCTCGATGAAAAGTTACCCCTTAGTCATGTTTTATTTTATTCTTTTTGATCAATTTCACCACCGTGTCGGTATTAATGATGTGTCAGTGATGGTGGGGAACACTAGCTAAGTGATGGCCTATGGGAGGTATAGATCCCTGTGTCACGAAGAGGACTTTTTTTTGTTTAGCTTCTAATATCACCTCCAGTAAAGCTAGCTCTTTCTTTCTTTCTCTTATCACTGGTTTTTACTAATATCAAATCAAATTGCTCCTTCAAGTGAGATTAGTTGTTTATGTATAAACTGTAACATTTATTTCTCTGACCTAATAAATGATTGAGACCCATTTGGAGTCCCCCCTTTTTTTTAATGTTTTGGTTGTGGTACTCTTGGTCCTGTGATGCCTTGCAGTCTTTTCTTCAACACACTGACTCTCTGTGGTTTTTATGAGTTCATGTCTCTGTTAAGTTTGGCTCATCTCTTATTCTTCTCCCCTGCCCGGATTTGGAAACCTGTGGTAATGCTGGTATTCCCATTTCACTTTCCTGCATGTGGGATGTGGTTAGCCTTTCATGTCAAACTGTCTCAGCGAGTGAGAGGAACTGAGCGCACCGAGCTAATAACATTTAGACAAGGGTGTGTAATATTTCTCACCACCTGGTGCGTGCCAGACAGATTGCTTTCTAGATGTCTTTGTCCACTGTAAATGATCCCCAGTTATTGATAGCACAGTGTTAGTGTTTTGTGTCTGCCTCTGTTACAGCAATGATGCCAAGCGTGCTCATGTGTGCAAAGCTGATGTTGCAATGGGTTGCTTTCTTACTGAAAGAGGACTGGCAAGATCACTGCCAGTCCCGTTTTCATTTAACAAGAAAAAGTAAGGGACTGAAATTCATCAAGTCTGCAAAAAGAAACAACTGTTTTCATTGGTTTGCACATTTATTACAAAGATACATATGTGTAACATATATATTACACCAGACCATTTCCCGATAGGACTGGTAACTTTACCTTAGTCTTCTCCGGTTGAGAGGCAATGACTTGTTACAACCTGTTAGGTGTAGTTAACTGTTCACTAGGGGTGCAACGATACTCGTATCGATATTGAACCGTTCGATACAGTGCTTTCGGTTCGGTACGCATATGTATCAAACAATACAAAATTTTTAATTTATTTTATCAACTTTTCTTCTGTCGATGCTGTCTGTATTGAGCGCTCAGTGGATCTGCGCTCAACAGTGTAGCCTAGGCGGAGTAGTCGAACGCAGATTCACTGAGCGCAAGGCAAGCTAGCAAGACAGAAGTTAAGCTCTCGTTGCAACATGGCAAATTGAACCTCCCCCACCCTCATTCAGATCTGGCGTTTGGAACTATTTTGGTTTTCATGTGACATATGACCCTGAAGGTAAGCGCATCATGGACAAAAGTAAAACAGTATGTCAGATGTGCCATGCAATGCTCAATTACATTGGTGGGAACTAGTGTGTTAGCGCAGTTAGCTTGATAGTGTTGATGCCGTCCAGCCCCACCCACTGGGCGATCCGCGGTAGCTCGTTAACGGAGATTTGCCGTGTTGTGGCGTTAACGTCATTTCAACGA